TTGCACATAAAATGAGAGGACCGCAAAACTAACACTAACATAGAATCAATCAGGAACGGACATCCTATAGAGTCCTTAACATCTCGGGGGCATGAGTTGAGCGTCTCATTCGACTGCCTCTACACGGTGATCCGACTCAAACAAAATTTTCCGAAGTTCGATGGATCGGTGAATCTTGGTGGATGAGCGGTTCAATTCTCGACTTCGGATTTCGCTGCTCGAAATGATATCCGAGAGAATTCGATCGGCTCCTCATATTCCTGCGTTAGGAGCGACTGGCTCGACTAGCGCGACATCCGTTCCCTCCGATCTCGCTCGAGCAAGCCCAGTCAAGTATTCGAGCCTGCTTGAGCACGATTGCTCCCGCAGCCAATCACGTGAAGTAAACAGTAGTGGACGGTGGGTAACTCGGCTTTGTGTTAATTCTTGCTAGAGGTTTCGTATCGGTGCGTAACAGAACTTTATGCCGCTTCCGACGTTCCGGGAAGATGTTCACGTCGCAAAGTGGACCAGCTGCGGCCCGAAATACGTTTCTCCGGACTAAAGAGGACCGAAGCTGCTCAAACCGTCTGTGAATGAGGAAGGAGGCAGTCCTGGTGGCCGAGTTGTCGCTCCGACCGGGTCTTCGTGGTAGCCGAGCTCTCGCCGAGGCCAAGCCGTCGTGGACCGCGATTCGAGCGATCCGCGGAGAAGTCAGCATACTGGGGAAACCCTCGAAGAGCACGACGCGATTGCTGGTTCGCAATCATGCCGTGGAACTATATCATTCCCATGATTGCGTGATGAACGAGCGGGGTCAGACCATCTTCTGCTCACAGAGCGAGTGAGCTGATGACAATCCGACACTGCACAGTGAAACTTCTGAAACGTCTCGAAGCTGTCCTCCGAAAAATGTTGTCAACTCCAACGTTGGCGAAAGCCGAGACGCTGGTACTGCGTGTTGTCCTTAACGTGCTCATCACCACCGTGTGTCGAGTGGACAGCATGTTTGACGCGCACGCTGTGTGTTGCGTCTCCGAACGCGGTGGTCAAGTAACTCCGAGCGAACTCTCGAGCGTGATTTCTTTCCTTCTGGGGTTCGGAGAGTTATCTTCGACTAAGGATCACCAGGATGGCAGCGCCCGTCGAGAGTCAACGAGGACGAGAAAAGCTCATCCATGAAGGTTTCGCGTATGTGTTCGCTCAGCTCAGCCGCGATCGGTGCACTGAATTTTGGCGATGTCAGTTCAAGACTCATCCGACGAAAAAATGCTGTGCTCGCCTGCACCGGATCATCGCAACTGGAGAGGTTGTCGTGCGCGGGAACCACGCAGATTTCGCCGATGCCGCGCAGGTGGAGGTTCAACAGAAGAAAACCGCCCCGAAACGACGAGCCGCTGACACTCTGGAGACGCCGCAGCAAATCATACGCGAAGTGCGGGTCGGTTCTTCATTAGCTGCTCAAGGAACTCTGGAGAGCAACAAGACGCTGGCCAGAATCGTACGAAGAACACGGGACAAAGTTGGCATCGCATCCTTGCACTACACGAGCTTGGCTTCGATCGACATTCCGGAGGAGTACCGCCGCTACGAAAGCACCTCGGGAAACTTCGAGAACTTTCTGCTCGGCGACAGTGGCTCTGATGATTCGAATCAAATCTTAATCTTTGGTCGGGCGTCCGCTGTTTCGTGGATCGGCCAAGTGAAGAAACTGCATGTAGACGGGACGTTCAGTCTAGCCCCCCAGCTATTCTCTCAGTTGTTTGTGATCTTAGCCGAGCGACCAGGCTGCGTCGTGCCGATCGCCTTCGCTTTACTCCCAAACAAGACCGAGGACGTATACTGCAAGGTAAATTGAAGAATAGATCGCAGAGCTTGTGTTACGTATCATGCCGGAGAGATACCGACGGGATATCCGATCGTATGCCGCATAGTAATCGATTCCATTCATTCAAGATGTTGGATATGATCACACTCGGATGGCCGGACCTGAGCCGAGGCGATTTCCATGGATTCGAAAAAGCACTCTTGAACGCTTTCGGGGCCTATTTCCCAAACGCAGAGATACATGGCTGCTTCTTCCATTTGGTCCAGAATCTCAAAAAACGTGTGGCATCGTGCGGGCTCACCAGAAGATATCGGAACGAGTCCGACTTCGCGCTGAGAGTAAGAATGATTTCCGCGATGGCATTCTTACCACCAAATCGCCTGGAAGAAGCCCTCCGTGACCTCAGGGACGAGCTACCGGAAGAGCTGCAGCCGGTTCTCGACTATTTTGAGGACACATACATGGGGAGGCTGCAGATAAAGACCGATGGAACCATGGGACGCCGGGAAGCCATTTTTCCAGTCCACATGCGGAGTGTCCATGAACGTACGCT